TATATTATTATTTTTTATTGAGTAATATTGCAAAAAGTAAAAGGATAAGTTTTCCCATGTCTTAATTTTCATAAGATTTCTATTACTGATTACGAAATGGGGGGAGGGGGTACTGTAAGATCTTCAAATGAGGGGAGAGGGGGTAGGTAATTACTGACAGGACGTGATAGAGAATTTTTAAATAGAGCATGTTATTTTTGTTAAAACTTAACATTATTTTTTAGTATCGTTGTAGCGGCTGTATCATCAAACTGTACAACAATGATAATCAGGAACGTTACTATTGAGGGAGTTTGGGAGTAGGGAGGGGGCGGAAAGATCGTTCAGGAGATTAATGAAGGCGGCCACCATCGTTGGCGGCAACAACTTGCAAAGAAGACGTGCTATAACTACACTGAACAAGCCGGAACAAGACGGAACAAGCCCAAGATATAACTACACTGTCCGGGGCGGCACCCCTTGCCGCCGAAGGAGAAAAACTTTGAATTTTAATGCTTCCAGTTTGCTGGAAAATTCACTTTTTGAAGCACTTTTTTAATAACGCAAGCTTTCTCTTCAATAAATATCCACAGGCTGAAAGCTATTTGATGGTTTTAATCGATTTTTCGGGTTTCGTTGTTAAATATTTTAGCTTATGCAACACAATTTTCTTCAGATTGGGACATAATCTCTCCGCTTTTTCTTCCTAGCATTTCTTTTCATGAAAGTATTTCATAACTTCTTGCACCCTCTCAATACTTTTATGAAATGGCGCCTTATCTGAACTTCTACCTCCAAGCCAAAAATTTTTGACAGGCTCCTTAAAACACTCCCCACACCCTACCTCGGTACGCCCATGGTATCTACTTTGTGTAAAAATCATTTAATGGTGTTTGACGATCGTTGCTCTGTACATCAAAGTGAGTATAGAAAAAGAAGTGGTATGTTGGAAGGTGATCCTTGTTCTCTTCGAAGCGATTTATCGTGGATTTTTATACAGTGTCTGCTTTTAGTATTGTTGTATTCTTTTATGTAAATTGCCCTAGTTCGGTAGCCATTATAACGTGAAAATCCATTTTGGCGCCCCTGATATTTGATCGGCAGGGGGGGGCGATTGCCCCCCTTGCCCCCCTGCCAGCACGCCACTGCCCAGAGTGGGGAGAGTCGCCAGCTCTCTGTAATTCCAGGCGTAGGAATCACGAGGTGTGGTCACATCGAGAGGAAGGACCAGGACACTGCTCGTTAAGCATAGCTTCTCAGTGTCCTAAAAACTACCTTCGCATGCAAGGTAGCAACAAATACAAATGAATAAACATGTGGCCATATCTCTGCCATTTCGTAATACACCTGCCTGATTTTGCAAATTTACAGGTATTTCATGATGCTCTTTCAGGTTATGGAATCCAAACTAAAAAGTTCTAAAAATAGATTTTCTGACGTCATCACTTTAGGACTCTATATCGGGTATAGACCTACTTTGATACTTCCCCAGCTTGACCCAATCAACACGAGCAAAAAATCTGTTCAAGGCAACTGTCATTGCACAACATGCCTAGACTTTTCCTTACCCAGAAATAGAAGTACCTCTATATTTCCAGTTGCAGATAAATATTATCATTTTTTCAGCATCGAGTAAGTGCACTGGTGAGGTGAGGCTCAAAATTCTACTACATCGAAAGAAAGTCAAGAATTAAATTTCAAAGATGCAAAGTTTGATTTTCTTTTGTCTTGCTGTCCAACTTTGCCATGTCTCGGCTCTCGGCATTGGCAGAAACTCAGCCAGCAGCTCATGTCAACGCCGTACCAAGATCTTGTCTTGACAACCTGAGAGCCGGGACAACAACGAATGGATACTACTCTATTGCCGGACCGAACGGGGAATCTATTCATGTCTATTGCGACTTCACTTCAGAACCAGGCTCAGCATGGACCCTGGCTGTTTCATGGGCCTTTAAAAACAGCAACATGGCTGCCTTCAGAAGCACACCCTTCTCTGTGGATATGCCAGTCAACGAAAGAACGCCAAATTGGGTGGCTTACAGGCTCTCAAAAGCTCAAATGCTTTCCATCAAGGCCCATTCAACGCACTGGAGGGCTACATGCAGTTATAACAGACTGAGTTATAGCGTCGACTTCACCGATTACGTCAGAGCAACCTTATTGGCCATTGATATCACGTCCTATCTTGGGAAAGGAGTCTGCAAGAAAGTTGAATACATCAATATTCGTGGTTATGTAGCCTATCAAGAAGACCGCTAGGTTTTGGCAAGTGCTGAATACATATACTCTACACATTGACAGTTTCATTTCGGGCGATACTTGTGAGTTTGGAGCAAAGCAAGGAGCAGCTACGAGTGAAGACAATTTTGGGCATTATGGTAGAACAAACAAGAACTTCAAATGCACTGCAAATCCAGAATCAACCACCCAGTACTGGTTTGGCAGCTACATAAAATGATCATGAATATATGGATAGCATTAGGTAAAAGCAATATCAACAAAACAGGCATAAACAAGTCAACAAACAGGATATAAACAAGTTGTTTTAACGAGTTACTTGAAACTGGGCAAACCAGAATAACGAGTTTAATAGGGCGCATGATTCGATGAGCGTCTTATGTCGCAACACTATTACGTTGCTTGAATTGTCATTATTTCATTATAAAGTGTAGTTGTTTATGAGCAAGGGGAACTTGAAAATACCATTTCAAAATGGGACCTACCACGAAAAATCATTTTTTGACAACCCTTTCGTGTTGACTTATTTTTGGGGAATTTGAGCCTAGCTCTTTCATTGCTAGCGTCATTTTCATCATTGGTGCAAATTGGTTGCATACAACAAATTGGTTTAGATTTATGTGCTTAAAGCAAAAACATCCAGGGCCGTCGCTGCGGGGGAGGGGGGATGACACCCCCCAGACCCAAACCTTTTCGGCAAATCTTCGAAAATGGAAGTTTTGTCGGCAACCTCTTGGAAACTAGCAAATGTTCAGAAAAAAGACAGAGAATTTTGCCATTTCCAAATAGATATTATCGGTTGTTGATGACAGCATCATTCACTGTTGCTAAAGATGAACGCACATTTAGCCGACTGAAATTGGTCAAAACCTAACGAGAATGATTAATGATCGTTCAAAGTCTCTCATGCTAAAGGCCAGGCGGGGTCTGGCCCGGGTGGCAAAGTGGTGATCCCCACCGGGCCCTCAGACATGTAAAGCAAAGAAAAATTATGGGCCCTTTGTGCAAAAGTTGGAGTGGAGAAGGTAATTTTCATAAACTGAGACACTACAAAGCATTAAAATCAAGTCTGCGCGCAGGCCAAAGGGCCCCACTATGACCAACAACCTCTATACAGATATCCTATTTCGAGATCAAGGATCACTTTAAGGGAAGAATGTTGCACAGGAAGAAAGCTTTTCAAATTGGGAAATTTTGGAGTCAAGTTTGCGACAGAAGCGAAATAGGACTTTTGCTTAAACCAACTTTGGCGTTTTAGTGAAAATCGCGAACTTTGCGTGAAAAACATTTCTATGCAATTGAGGCTTCCTTCTTTTTCTATTCCACATGATACCAGCAAAACAACGAAAAAGATGTAAAATTTATCCAACACAATAATTCTTCGTCAAAATTTTCAAAAGGAACAACAGAAAAATTTTCTGGATATTTCCCAAAAATTATTTTTTCGCAAATTTTGTATTCCAGGAAGTTTCGCGTATCAATCAGCGCAAAAGCAAAAGTTTCTTCCCTCGAAAGTTTCTTTCCGTGAGAATTTCTTTCCGCAAAAGTTTCTTCCTTGAAAGTAGCAAGTTTGCGAAATTTCGCAAATTACTAATTTTTTAAAACGCAGTTTAAAGCGAGGATTTTGCTATATTTGATTCTCCCGTGGATCATGGTAATCTTTTGGATCCTAATTCTAACTAAAATAAGCATACAATATGACTTAAGCTGTTTTTCACTGCAAAAATTTTTTTTGGACAGACCTCTCGTAAATACTTTATTGATAATTTTGGAACGATTAAAAGGTTGCATTTGCAAATGACAGCCTAATTGTTCATTACACTTTGTCTCCTCTGTTGCAGTCACAGCGGCACGTGGTGTCTCGCTAACCAGATACTATGTACTAAACCCCCGTCTTCTTTGGGACAGGCTCGGAAAGCATGGCTTCTACCGCTGGAGACTGAGAAGAAACATGTCGCTTTAATGCAATAAATATGCGTTCTTATGATGGTAGACAAGGAATGCAAGGTTTATATATCACTTTCAATTGGTTTATGCTTCGATTTCAGTTATAAATGGAGGATTTAATGTAACGAAATTTCGTACGAAATTTCGGCGAAATTTCGCAAATTGCAATAAGCCGTTCCTAATCAACTGTGTTTGCATTTGCCTTGGAACGCTGTGCTATCTTGGCACAATTTAGTTTTGCACTGTGTATGACAAAAATTCTGGAACTATTTACGTCTTACCTTGTAAATTTCATTAACATTGTTCACAGCAGGAGCGGATCCAGACTATAGCAACTGTAGCTCGAGCTATAGTCAAAATCTCAGTGTTTGATTTTCGGAATTCATATTAGTGGGGGCTCTTACAACATTGATCATGCAAATCGTGATACCAGTATGAAATTTCGCACACCTACCCAGTTTGATGCGCTGAAAAAGATAGGGGTCAGACCCCAACTCAAATTTGCCCCTGAGTGCTATTTTTAGACTGGGGTAGTCGGACCCAGTCCATTGAGAGGCATTCATCATAACTCAATACCAAATTAAGATACAGAGCTAAAATTTGGTAGAGGTACGTAGTTTTGTGTGTTGAGAACGATAAGGGTCAGACCCCAACTCAAATTTACCCCTGAATGCTATTTTTGGAATGGGGTAGTCGGACCCAGTCCATTGAGAGGCACTCATCATAACTCAACTCCAAATTAAGATACAGAGCTAAAAATTTGGTAGAGGTACATCCTTTTCTATTTCCAGACGCCAGGAAGGGGGTGGGGGGTACAACCGCCCCTGTTCCCTTTTGCAGAAGGGCAAGGGTGTTTTTAATAAAGTGCCTTTGAAATGGTCAATTGTTATAATCAGAGAGATTTTTGTATTTTTGGGGGAATTTTTTTTCGAACTTCTCAAAACAGTGTTAAATAATCCTTGTTGCCGAAAGTTACCAATGTTGAACGATACCTACATTAATAAAGATTGCCAATTACGTATGAATTTGTAGAAGCTGGAATTATCTTTCAAAAGCCTTTTTTACTCAAGCCTTGCCCCCCCCCCTTTTTGCCGCCGTCCCTGTCTATTCCCTAGTAGGTCCTTGCCGTGAGCACCATTACAGGGAGACCAGATGTGCGAAACGAGCATATCTACTGTTGCTATTACAGGGACAGAGAGCGGAAGAAATACTGTGGTATACTCATTTCTATTGGTTTAACAGGCATTTTCCCAAAGACCTGACTATGGCCTTTGGACTATAGCTCGCGCCAAAATTATGTACGGTTTCTTGTCTTCGATGCCTTTTCAGAGCAAATCCCAGACGACTATAGCTCGGATATCAACTGTAGCTCAATTTCTGCGTTGGTTAACTGTCAACAAAGAACGAAACTTCGATTCGTCTAAGGTTTAATATTAACCATTCTGCGCTCATGTTTATACTTGATCTGAGAGCATTGTGATAACACATTTGCAGCAGTGCATGTTTGTTAATCGACATTGAAACCATTACCGCTGCTTCAAATTAGTGGGGCGCTTTAAGTCACAAAAAGGCTCATATCATGCAAATCGTGATCCGAGCATGAAATTTTGCACACCACCCAGTTTTATGCGGTGAAAAAATAGGAGGTCAGACCCCAACTCCAAATTTGCGTTGAGTGCTATTTAGACTGGGGTACTCGGACCCAGTCCAGTTGAAGAGCATCATCGTAACTCAAGCTCCAATTTAAGAATACAGAGATAATTTGATAGATGGTACGTGTTTGTCGGTGAAAACGATTAAGGGTCAGACCCCAACTCAAATTATACCTGAATGCTATTTTTAGACTCGGGGTACTCGGCCCAGTCCAGTGCGAGGTGCATTCCATCGTATAACTCAGCTCGAAAATTAAGATATAAAGCTATAATTGGTAGAGTTTACATAGTTTGATAGTGCTGAAAGACGAAGAAGGTCAGACCCCAACTCAAATTTACCCCGTGAATGCATTGTCTGACTGGGTACTCAGACCCAGTCCATTTGAGGAGCTTCTGATAACTCAGCTCGAAAACTTATACAGAGTAAAATCGGTAGAATACATAGTTTGATGTGCTTGAAGACGAAAGGTCAGGACCCAACTCAATTTACCCTCTGAAATGCTATTCTCTATACTTATTTGCGTAGCGGTTCTTCCGGTACACACGCATTTGCAGGAGCATTCTCATTACTCCGGTCGAAATTAAGTAAAGAGCTAAGATTTGTAGCGAATCACTAAAGCATGTCTCTTATCGATCATCATCGAAAGGCATGAGATCCCAACTCAAACTTGCCCCTAAAAGCGATTTTTAGACTGGGGTACATTGAACCATTTATGATTTTAGTTAGAGAGAAAACCCATTGGGAATGGCAGACAGATTTAGCATTCAGACCTGTGACTTAAAACAGAGCGTTTGGTCTACGGCTAAGAATCTTGTTTACATAGTTCCAGAGAAGACGGCCATTTGCTACTTTCTATGGACAAATCATTAAGCAACACAACATGCTAAACTTTTTGTCGCTTGTAATCACGAAGAAGGGATACGAGAAGTTAAAGATGCAGAGACTCTGGCCATCGAAAAGTCGTTGTGAAAACGGTGGATACCGACTGTTGTACTTGCAATTCTTTTTGCAATCCTTAAGATTGAAGAGTTGTGGGTCGAATTTGGCGTTGGAAAGCACCGGCGTTGGCTTCCAATCCACCGTTTGCTACCAACCTCGGGGAATCAATCTGCGAGAGGATGTGTTTTTCGTTTGCTTGTAAACTGGTTTTGTGATACAGTTTCGTTTTGCTGGATCAGAGGGAAAAAGATTGCGTGGGCGTATGAAGCATATTCTAGAAGCAAACGAGACATTCAAAAAGATGCAATTGAGCTTATATTTGATGTGGACAGTAGAAGTAGGAGCATCTCAAAAGAAAGGGCACATTTAGCAAGAGGCATCTTTTGAGCTTCAGAATATGGTCTTTTAATTTGTTTCTCAAAATTAGGGGGGGGTCTACGTACAAAGAATGGTTTTATGCAAGACTATTAAAAAAGATTTAAGTAGCAACGAACTATTCTGTTTTTTCAAAGTGATGTATGATATGGCGGTGGTATTTATGCAATTCAGAATTGATTAGAAAAAAAATATACTTGCTTTGTAAATGTATATCATTACTTAAACACATGGTCAGTACATGTCCCATGTCAGATATATCCATCGGACGATATGAATACTATGAGAGTAGCACTAAATAATACTCTACCGAATCCACAAGTTCAACACGAGATTCTGCCTCCAACGAAGAGTTTTTTTTTTTTTTTTCTTTAGCACTAATACAGCATGCCAAAGACAGTATACAGCAGCAGGGTAAGTGGTTAAAGATCACTAGTTGTCATCACATGGCAAGAATCACTTATATTGTAGTACCTGCCTCCGTTTAATCACTTTTACACACATTTGGGACAATCTTTCAAATTGGCCAAGTTCTTCCAGTTATAGAAAGTGGGGGTGGACGAGAAAGGCAACGAAATCAAGCCTTTATGGATGGCACAATTCCAGAAGCGAATTCAAATGGCGTTTACTGTTAATTCAGCAGTGTGTGCAAGAAAGGTTGCAGATGCAAGATGAACTTTTCGTCAGCATCAGCTAGATGCACGGAGCTCTGCCAGTGCAGTGACAACTTCAGTGATGAGTAAATGACATAATATATTCTTTAGAAGACTTAAAACAAGAGTCGCAAATCTTCTATGTCATTTGATTAATCTTGGTCAGCAAGCGCCAGATGAGCAAGAAAACGCTCCTGGCCGTTCTGATTTACTCTAGTGTGAAAATTTAAACCAATAGAACACATTAGAAACACAAAAAACATATTTCGCTTTCCAATCACATCTAGAAAAAATTTCAGAAAATTTTAATACCAGCTACCAGTACTCTTAGTCTCAAAATAAATTGTGGGGTAGTTTCGAGTTGAGTTTATGTCTAAAAATTTAGCTCGTCAAACTTGCGTACCTTGTAAAATTTACAGCTCTTGTTGCTCCTTTCCTGTAGGCTTGTGATGTAAACATTTAGGAGGACTGGTCAGGTTTTCCTGTTACCGAAAAATAGCATTCAGGGTAATTGACGTTGGGGTCTGACCCTATTCGTTCTCAACACACAGCTATTCGTACGTCTCCTGCATCCTTAACTCCACCCTAATATATTTATCTCGGATCACTCGCATATCCGTATAATGTTGGAGTTGAGTTATTCGTGAGTGCCCTCTCAATGGACTGAGTCCGTCGAACCTCACCCATTCCAAAAAGACGAGTTGATCTCCATGCTCCGAGGTAAATTTTGAGTTGGCGGGTTTTTCGACCCCTTAATCTTTCCACAAAAGTACACTTGACCCCTGACCAGATACAAAATTTTTAGCTCGTCAAACTCTCGTACTCAGTCACGAGTACGATTATGATGAGTGCTTTCAGATGACTGGTCCTTTTCTTATTATTCTTTCTGCCTGACTACCCCATTCCAAAAATAGCTTCACGGTAATTTGAGTTGGGGTCTGACCCTTATCGTTACTAAGCCAGACGACTTCGAGATTCCACAACGGTACATCATCTACCATTTACTGCTTTTTAGCTCTGTATCTTGATTTGGAGTTGAGTTATGATTGAGTTGTCACCGCGCCTATCGGGATCCGCAACTTCCCCAAGCTTCCTAAATGGCAACTGTCTCGTTTGACCTCGTGTATCGTTCTCAAACACACGAAAATACGTACTCTA